TCATGAATCATTCTTGTAGTGTATAAAATACACATAAAATCTCTACTTTACTCTTAATTTCGTCTTCTACGTACCTATACATTAAATAACTCAATTAAGTACAAATATAGTATAGTTTAGTATTAAAACCCCAAAATGTAAGGTAAGTAATGCACAAAAAATATGGAATTATAGCCAAACATTACTACCCCACACTTAAACGTTGCTCGTCCTCGAGTCAACTAATAATTCACACTATCCTTGTGTTTTACACAATTGAGGCACACTACACCAATTGTCGGAATCCTTCCCGCTATGCCTTCTATATCTTCGCCTAAGTTTTCTCTGCCGATCATGAGCGCCCTGAGTGTCATAACTCTCTTCCGAATAATTACCACAATTTACTAGACATATTCTCTCGAATTACGCTAGCTGGCATTAAGTGCGGCTCACTCGGATCGCACCAAGGTTTTGTTATCCCTAATCCCAACTTTGAACCCTTCGTATTGATCCCTCATATACGTTAGGAGTGATGTTGTTCAACAACTACCTAAATATGCACTCTCTTTCGAGTAATACACACTAAATAGGCACAGTCGATTGAGAGTTCTTCAACCAATCACAATAATAACGTAGTTGAACAAGTAGAGAAATCCAACGGCTCAATTATATAAAAACATAACAAGAATTTATCCTACAAAAGGTTTTATCAAAACTCTAAATAACAAATTAGCTATTCATAATAGTATGCAAAACTACAATACTAGAATTCATAACCAATAATGAAAATAGGAAAAAGGAAGTGAAAAACTTGTAGAAGAATTTCCCGCCTTGCTCCTAGTGTGTTCTTGACTCCTTAGGACAAATCCCCGGTCTAATCTCGGTCTCCCTCTCCGTCTCCCTTAAAAATGGTGTTTAATGACTATTTATATGTGTAGGGTAAAGACCTAGACAAAATTACTAAGTCCAAAACCAAATAGGAGGTAAAATAGGTCTGAAACCCGGAACACCCGCGCGACAGACCGCGCGTCGCGAGGCAAAACGCGCGGAACCTCTCGCTGAAACCCTCGTGTCGCGCGCCCGAACGCGAGCATAGTGGCTCGCGTCGCCTGCTTGATTACTTCGTTTTGAATTTGGATTTCTTCTGCCTACTTTCCCATTCACGTTTTCTCTTCTTTTTCAATTTGTTATTTTGTATTTGTCTCTCCAATCATTGCTCCATAATATCAGTATAATATTTTCAATCAATAAATGATCATGAATCATTCTTGTAGTGTATAAAATACACATAAAAACTATACTATATTCTCAATTTCGTCTTCAACGTACCTACACATAAAATAACTCAATTAAGCACAAATATAGTATAGTTTAGCATTAAAACCCAAAAATGTAAGGTAAGTAATGCACTAAAAAAATAAAATTATAGCTAAACATCATTATCCCACACTTAAATGTTGCTCGTCCTCGAGTCAACTAACAATTCACACTATCCTTGAGTTTTACACAATTGAGGCACACTACATCAATTGTCGGAATCCTTCCCGCTATGCATTCTATAATTTCGCCTAAGTTTTCTCTACCGATCACGAGCACTCTGAGTGTCGTAACTCTCTCCCGAGTAATTACTACAATTTACTATACATATTCTCCCGAATTACGCTAGCTGGCATTAAGTACGGCTCACTTGGATCGCACCAAGGTTTCATTATCCCTAATCCTACCTTTAAACCCTTCGTATATATCCCTCATATACGTTAGGAGTGATGTTGTTCAACAACTATCTAAATATGCACTCTCTCTCGAGTAATACACACTAAATAGGCACAGTCGATTGAGAGCTCTTCAACCAACCACAATAATAACGTAGTTGAACAAGTAGAGAAATCCAACGGCTCAATTATATAAAAACATAACAAGAATTTATCCTACAAAAGGTTCTATCAAAACTCTAGATAACAAATTAGCCATTCATAATAGTATGCAAAACTACAATACTAGAATTCATAACCAATAATAGAAATAGGAAGAAGGAAGTGAAAAACTCGTAGAAGAATTTCCCGCCTTGCTCCTAGTGTGTTCTTGACTCCTTAAGACAAATCCCCGGTCTAATCCCGGTCTCCCTCTCTGTCTCCCTTAAAAATGATGTTTAATGACTATTTATATATGTAGGGTAAAGACCTAGGCGAAATAACTAAGTTCAAAACCAAATAGGAAATAAAATAAGTCTGAAACCCGGAACACTCTCGCGACAGACCGCGCGTCCCGAAGCAAAACGCGAGTAATCTCTCGCTGAAACCCTCGCGTCGCGCGCCCAAACGCGAGCATAGTGGCTCGCGTCGCCTGCTTCATTGCTTCATTTTGAATTTTGATTTCTTCTGCCTACTTTCCCATTCACGTTTTCTCTTCTTTTTCTATTTGTTATTTTGTATTTGTCTCTCGAATCATTGCTCCATAATATCATTATAATATTTTCAATAAATAAATGATCATGAATCATTCTTGTAATGTATAAAATACACATAAAATCTCTACTTTACTCCCAATTTCGTCTTTTACATACCTATACATAAAATAAATCAATTAAGCACAAATATAGTATAGTTTAGCATTAAAACCCCAAAATGTAAGGTAAGTAATGCACTAAAAATATGGAATTATAGCCAAACATCACTACCCCACACTTAAACGTTGCTCGTTCTCGAGTCAACTAACAATTCACACTATCCTTGAGTTTTACACAATTGAGGCACACTACACCAATGACCATAGTTGATAGCAACAAATAGTAATAATTAAACCTTAGCATATGCAATCACATACACTTCCCTTTTCTTATGCCATACTTCAAAAATATGCAAACAAAGACAACATGCTCATATCCATCCTAGCCTCAAAAACTAACTCAATTTCACAATGTACTCATGGCTTGAACACCCAACATCATAGAGAGAAGTCTAATCAGTTAAGACTTTTTCATGGTTATAACGTGGGCTAAGGGAAGGGTAAGATATATTTTGGATTAGTGGTTTATCCTCCCAAGCACTTTAATACGTTACATAATAACTTTAAGCACAAATTCTTCAATCCACTTCAATTTCACAAACAAGATCACACCCCAAAAATATTTCCTATTTCTTTAAGCACTACTTTACTTTATATTCCACTAGCAAGAACAAGACAATAATTTATTCATCTATATTTTTCCTTCTTTTTTTTTTTATTGGTTATGAATTCTAGTATTGTAGTTTTGCATACTATTATGAATGGCTAATTTGTTATCTAGAGTTTTGATAGAACCTTTTGTAGGATAAATTCTTGTTATGTTTTTATATAATTGAGCCGTTGGATTTCTCTACTTCAACTACGTTATTATTGTGGTTGGTTGAAGAGCTCTCAATCGACTGTGCCTATTTAGTGTGTATTACTCGAGAGAGAGTGCATATTTAGGTAGTTGTTGAACAACATCACTCCTAACGTATATGAGAGATCAATACGAAGGGTTTAAAGGTGAGATTAGGGATAACGAAACCTTGGTGCGATCCGAGTGAGCCGTACTTAATGCCAGCTAGCGTAATTCGGAAGAATATGTCTAGTAAATTATGGTAATTACTCAGGAGAGAGTTACGACACTCAGAGCGCTCATGATCGGTAGAGAAAACTTAGGCGAAATTATAGAAAAATTGTGTAAAAACATAACAAGAGTTTAAGTGTGGGATTTTAGGCGAAATTAATAGGGATTAGGATGGAGGTGAGAGGAGAGAGAAAGGAAGATAGAAGAGATGAGAGACAAATGCTATCATAATTACGAATGTATATAATTTGTAGAAAAACTCCAGTCAACTTTGGTAAATAGCAAACTTTAGATATTTAGGGTAAATAACTTTATAATTTAGTATATATACAAAAAAGTCCTCATTGATTTCCCGTCTTGGACTTTGCCCCGTTCCTTATGTCAAGTGGAGGAGGAGAGAACAGTAACCACATTTTTTTCTGCTCTACAGCTCCGTTTGGTAACATTGGGAGGTATTCTTCAGCATATTTGAGCAAAGTTGGATTAATTCAGACTGTTACTGTACTAGAGCTGTGACTGCCATAACAAAGCAATGAAGAAGCTGTGGGACACAATTCTAGCATGTACATGTTGGATTCCATGTGCGATTATCCACGCAACACATATTCACTTTATGACTTGTAGTACTCATTTTCTCATGGAACAGTTTCAGTAACTCAACATCATAAAAGCAGACGTGACAATTTTATCCAACAATGTCCAGTTCAGTAACTATTTCAGTACCCCTAAATATAATATCCGTTCTGAACAAAACAAAATTAAAGCCACCGTCGCAGTGTGTTCATAACTCAATATCTTTAAGCCCATACATAAACTAAAGTAGATAATACAAATAACAAAGAACCTATGTTCTGCACCAAACTACATAAGTCGCATGTAAACTATATGGTTTACGTTATACCACTAAATATATATCTTTCGAAGCTGAAATTTTAGATATACATGAAATTGGAACTAACACTGTAATCATCACATAAAAATGATATAGCTATACCGCGTAAAAACAATCATAATTTTAATGCATAAAAAGATAACTGAGTTAATTTTGCAATAAACATACCCCATTTAAATATTTTAATAGGATGGAAAAGAAGAGGTCATGTAACTTTCTGTTCATCTAAAAGATTAAATAAAGAGGAGTAAAGATCTATCATTTTTGAGGTCTCCATCTTCATTATTAAGCTACAATGAGTGGATGGAAAGGGGCTGGAGTCATGGATTCTTAATATACCCCCTTCTGTTTTCCCCTTACATAACCACTATGAAGTTTAAACCTCCTTCTCGGCTCTCTTACCTTGACGAAAAATACCCAAGCAAGTTGGAGTCAACTATATGAATCCTCACTCTCCATGCCGTTCCATTTAAGTTCATATTTGTCCAATATTATATAAACTGCAAAAAACCTCAATACACTTGCTAAGGTAAAAACAATTGGCACAATAAATCGTGAAATTCAATTCACTAAAACTTATAGCATATAATAGGTAGAGTATGAGGAGTACAAACTTCCAAAAGCAATGTGAAGGCAGTAACAAAACCAAAGAAGAAGAGAGAAAGAACCAAGAATCTACACTATAAAAAAGAATAACTGAATCCTTTAGGATCTGAGAAACTGATGTATCAACTCCAGATAGATGATGGCTAAGGAAAAACTGGAAAATAAATTCTCATGATCTCGACTGAGATGCTGTAACAATCTTTGGTTCCTGTAATCAGTATTGGACTTAGAGCCTCAGATCTTTTCTACCACATTCTATTGGCACATAAACTGGTATACCCCAATATGATAAGCTGGAAGTATACTGATTTCCATGGATAGCATGGCAGCACGTGGAGACTTTGTTATCATTACGCAAATAACAACCAAAATAGAAGAGTAAATGGTGCTTGCAAAAGGATCCCAGATTAGTTGATCAACTTAGACTGCTCAAAATCAGAGGAAACTTAGAACCAGGGACGATTCTCAGCGAGCTACCATGAGGTACGAATTGCTTCGGTTGGTAGCTCTTTTTGACTCCCAAAGGCACCTGCATTCAGGTAAAGGATTCGAATAGATAGAACCTTTTCTGGTGGACTTCTTAACTCTAGGTACCATTATGCCCTTCCTGTCACTTTCGGCCAGCATTGATCCCATTTGACCCTTGAATTCAATCCAGCTGTTTAGCAGTACAAGAAAAAATAACAATTATGAAAAAAGAAAACAAAAAGAAGAAAAGAAATGATGTTATGCTCTGGACAATTATGATAAAGTTGCCTGGAAATTGAAGAGAAGTGGGATGAGTAAAGATGAGATGAACTTAGAGATGATACTAGATTGGTGAGAGTCAACCTAGAATGTATTCGGATCGACTCATACTAGAACTTGTTCCTCGTGTTTCAAAATCAGGTTAGATTTAGCCTCGGAAACATTCTGAAATGATCAACTTTTTAGGGGTAGTTCATTCCATTTCATGCCCTTTAGTTTGTTACTATGCACATTTGAGCTCACCATTCATTTTGCATTTCAACTGTTCTGGTTCAAAGGAGGCACAAATCCTTCCTGATTCAGGTAAATGATCACATCTTACTTTAATTCCTATAATGGCAACAGAATTAGGAAGTTAAATAAAAAACTTAATCTTTTTTTTTTTAACCTGCAGTATTCAATTTTTTTGCCATTAGATAATATCATGATCTATGAGCAAATAAGTTGACTCATATGCATAAAAATGCATGTAATTCTAACTTTGGGATCATGTAGTGTCAGCAACTGATGCTTTTCGTGGTCAAATCTTATTATACCTATCAGTGTATAATGCAGGAACAAAATCTGGATTGTACTTTCAGTTATACAAGAAGCAGAAAGAAAAGAAAATAGAAGACAGCTATAGGAAAAGGATCTGACCTTATACTTGTGTTCTGCAATAAAGATACAAGCTTGATTTTATCAGGTTTGATAGTCTTGGCGTGTCCATTAAAAAGGTACCTTCTATGACCAATCAAAAAATGAGGGAAGTTTCCCCCTTGAGTGGTTACAAATACCTCACTAAACAAGCATACTAGGTAGTCCACAGCTGCGAGTCTTGATGAATAACCCTATAAAACAAACATAAAATGGAATGAAATGAAGTGAACTTGTTTATACGCTTGGACAATCAGCTAGTTGCTTCCGCTAAATAGTAAATTAGTAACATAGAACTCCAAAAAAATTCCAATGACACAACACGGCTATGGCATGGTTCAGGATGAAAGTTCCAGTCACTAGAATCCTGTTGGCTGGTTTCTTTTTATGTCAAACTGAATAAATTCTCAAATTTTAGAAATAGCCAAATTATTACTTCTGCTAAATCATTAGCTTGTTGGCACTAGGAGGTGCTTCTGGCATTAGATGCAAATCAATGTTGGTTGAATTGGCTGTGCAGAGAGCACTATATCTCTGTGATTCAGTTCAATTTCTTAGCCGTGGTAATTTGGAAAATCGTAGCGTGGGAAGAAATATTTTTTTTATGAAGTAAGTAGAATTCATTGCTGGCATCAAGAAGATGCAAAAAGTAACAAAAGTTAGGAGAGGAAAGAATTTTAAACTACTATGTACTAGATACATCCCTCGAACAAATACTTGTCCAAGAACTTAGAGTTAGAGCAGAAATAGACAGTGGATATGTCCATTACTGAGTTGGTCCGATACTAGTGCATTCGATGGTGGTACTGGAGGTGGTCAACCATGTCCCACACACTATTTCTAGAAGAAATGACTTCTCATCAACAACTTATACCTCAAATGGAGCAAGCTCATCTTTGGTTGCCAAAGTCTCCTTGGTTTGTAGGAGAGGAAACATCTTTCGAAGAGGTGCTAGATATCTATCGGCCTGGTAAATCTTCCCAGAAGCCAAATAGATTGGAGAATCTTTGGCAAATCCCATACCCCTGAGCATCATCCCGACCTATCCTGACAAAGAAAAATATATGAAACAAAAGAGTAACTGAAGGCTACAACGAAGTACTAAATGCAAGAATTTGTATACCTGCAGCTTGAGCAATGAAATTGATATTATAAATAAACTAGTGTTAGAAACCGCGCGATGGGCAGATAATTTGATAAAATAGTAATCTTATAAAATTATGATTTAATAAATCATATTATTTTAATAAATATTAGTTGTTATTTTATTATTTAATATAGTGTACAGAAATATAACAAAATCAAAGGATACACATTATATGGTAATCAAATAAATTGTTTGTTCCACAATTATTCTTTATTATTATTAAATTAGCAAGTACTTAGTACTATACATTTACTAATATGACTTTTTATTAACTTGTCAATTGGCTTAATATTTTGATACTACTTCTCTTTTAATATAATACAGATATATATTTTCTTACTCTGGAAATATTTTTATATTTTTTAAACTTATGTTATACTGTTCAAAGAATTTCAATTGTTTAAATTTATCAATAATTTTCTTGAGTGTTATTTATTTATCTTTTATTTATTAATTAATTCAAAATATAAATATCATAAAATTATCTTTATCCCTCTTTTTCCGTACATTCTTTTCTATTGTTTTTTATTACTTTTCTCATTTTGTATTTTACTAAAAATTTAATTACGTGTATATGTATGACTTTTCTCATCATAATTCTAATTATAAGTCTTATACTTTATATTTTCTCACAAATTTATATTTTATTTCTTTTTTTGTTTCTTGCTTATCTAATGGTATTATCAATTACTTAATATTATTAAATTGACATATGAATTTTAATAAATAATCAGTTTAATATAATACAATAAATATAATTTTGTATTACTTTTGAAATTTAACTTGACTTTATCTTGTATGACTTTCTGAAATTATATCGATATTTAAATTTATCAATAATGTTTTCGAGTATTATTTATTTACTTAATTTTATCAAATAAATTTAAAGTGTGGATAGAATCACATAATATCTATTCTTCTCTTTATACATTAGTTTTTATTCTACAATATTTTAATTTTTTTCATTTAGTGTTTATCTACAATAAGAATATTATTGTATTATTTTTCTAAATGGATGGTGTTAAATTAATTCAAAGGTTAAATAGAGAAGTTCTTTTATTATATGTCATAAATTTACTAATATCTATATATTTTGAAGGAAACTATTATAAAAAAAGAAAAAAATGTATAAATAAATAACTTCAATGTAGAGATATTTAATTACTTTTAATTCAAATTAAAAAAGAGTAACTAATTATTAACTAACCTAACTAATTTTGTCCTAAAATTTGACATTTGTTGAATTTTTATTGTGACACTTGGCATCATGAAATTGATGTGCTTCTCCTATTCTATAGATAGATGGGAAAAGGCATAAGTACCCCCTGAACTATACTCGAAGTTCGAGGGACACACCTTATCTTTACGGGGTCCTATTACCCCTCTGAACGATTTTAAAGTGTAATAAATACCACCCTAAGTGATGACGTGGCATAGATACCAAACTCTTGGTAGACAGTGAAATACACGTGCTGCCACGTGTAATTTTGCAATTTCTTATTATTACTTGTTTCTGTTTCTAAATTTGTCTACATTAAAGAAAACATTTGGCAGCACTCTCATTATTCTTCTTCACTTCATGATATTCCTGGCAAGATAGCAGCCCCCACAAGGTGAAAAATGATTTTACTGAATATAGTTAGAAAAAATATTTCTCAGCATTCACGGTCAAACATATGCAATTATTGTAATGTCTCTCAGTTTATGAAAAGGGGTAGAATGATTGAACAAGCCCTAGGACTATCCATCTAAAAGCTTGTCAGGAACAGAATAAGGTTTTAGTTTGATAGCTAGACATAAAGCTTCTACAAGTTATACCAATAATATATTCACCTCTTTTGATTACCAGAGTAGTTAGGAAAACCAAAAAAATAAGAGAAAGGTACATTTACTCCCTGTATCTATCCTAACCCCAGCCCCTATTCATCAAGAAAGATCATTGAGAAGAAACACACAGTGTTTGAAGCAGAGAAACTAAAAATGATTCACAATTTCCCGACTCCTCGGAAGGTCAACATTGGCATGTGTCCCATCAAGCCTCATAGAGACCTAGCCATTCTAAAAGATACATTCAGCAAAAGAGTGCACTAAGATGAAATGCCAGCCTCTAACATTTGTCTGTTTCTAAAATGCAATTTTGACTTGTAGCAATTTGTAGTAGACGCTCCAAGTATTAACAAGTATAACAAATAATTTCTTCCAGATCTACTCTGAAAGCTTCTCAATTGTACAATTTATTTCTAATTGAGAATTGGCTGGTGTTCAAGGCTGAAATACAGCACGTTGGTGCAATATTTTCACTTTTAGCACTTAAGACATAAGAGCTGCATTCAGCCTATAGGAATTACCTTCTCCCCTGAGGAGAAATATAACAGTTAGATCAGGATGTGACTTAGGTAATGTAATACTGATACATCCATTTTCTTGCTCCAGATAGGAAGCCCAATTGTATTTGAAGGTAAACAGATAAAAATAAATTCTAACCTCTACAGGGGTCATAGGACATTTTCCATTTATGCGGTTGAGACCAGGTGCAATAACACGATATTTTTGTTTGAACTTCTTCCCCCATCCCTTCTCACGTACCACATCCATTTCTGACTTTTCAACCACTCCTCCATCATAAATACAACATGAAAAGGCTACCATGTCCTTCACATGTAAGATGGAGTTTGCATCATTAGATTGTAGATCAACAGTGTCAATGGACTTCCAGAAAATCCTTTGCAAGCATAACTAGGAAGAGAGACTGTACCTCCTCAAAGCGAAGGTGGATAGAAATATAATTCCCACCAGAGTTAGAGCTCCTCTCAATCATGCGCTTGACTAACTTCTTTGCAAGTGTCGATATGGCCAAGGAGAACCTCAAAGCTTCATAATTGGAAAAGCATCTCAGGAACTGAAGATGAGATGGAAGATGCATTGATAATCTATTAGCAAATGGGGAAATATGAACAACCCTGCATATAAAGTAACTAGTGAACGGATAATGTAGGTCTGCTTAAGTAACAAAAGTGATATTTATAGCTAACTACATTCTTCTCTGTCAATGCCAGCTCTTAACATTCTTTCCTACTAGGAAAATGAAGTAGCATCCACTAGAAATTGAAAAAGAGTCATGCTAGATACAAGACTCTAAGATTAATAGTTAAAACTTAGGATTAAATAGAAAAAAACATTTTTCTTCAACTTAACATTTTTTTTTACGGAAGAGCTATCATTTTATAACACTTTGAATAGTTTAAAAAATATATATAACATAAGGTTTAAAATTAATTTGAATTATAATTTGCTAAAAAGAAATGAAGAAATTATAATTTGCTTAAACTACCGAAACTACTTATAGAAGCTTTTCCTTGGAGCTTATATTTTAGACTTTTAGTCCTACAATAAGACACATTGGTTAGTCAAGCAAAATAAAAGCAAAGCTCGAGAGCTGTGTGAGAAACGGAAATCTCAAGTGGACCAACATGATCACACACGTGGCAATCTAAAAAAGGCTGCAACCGACGTGGAACATGCAAAGTTCAGTCCACTGGTTCAGCAAAATTCTGCACACGTCTACAATAAAATTAGAACATAGTAATCCTGAAATATCACAACTGCCACTTGTCCGTAAGCATGTTGGACAGCCTTTAAGCAAACAGCTCAAGCAGAGATGTTGACCCTAAGCTCCTCTCGTTTGTGGCTTCTAAATAGGTAGTAAAATGCACGCTATCAGATTTCATTAATCTTGTCCCATATTAATGAGCCGTCATAAGCATATGTAATCTTAGTAATTTGAGAATGAGATGCAAAATGATGTATCTTCTCACCCTGGCTGACATGATTGCAAAAGAGTCGTGTAAAAACATACTGATAGTATTAAGCTGACATGCTGGATTAGAAAAACCTACTAAATTTGTTCCTTCCAAACGTTAAAGAAGAAGACAGAAATGTAAGCTGCTTTCCGGTGGTCATTTGGCAGAAAGTTTTTGGGAATGTCTTCTACTAGTGCAACAAGTGATAAATTTAGATAACTGAAACCATAAAACTACATACCTCCGCTTAAGCAAGACAGGATAAACCTCTTCCAGGTAATAGCTTGGAGGTGCCCAAGCCTGGACTCGCAAATTCCGAATATTGCTGATATCGGAATCATATTTCTCCATCAGATCTGCTGGCAGTTCTTTAACCACTGTAATATAATCTTTAATGGTGGATATGAAATGGTCCTCATCATAAATATCAGCAAATCCGCTGCAATGTGACAAAAAGGGAAACACCAAAATAATCTTTGTGAATACAGAAGTTAAATGAATGCGATTATTGGTATTATTCGAAGCAAAAGAGTGATTTAACATGAGAAAACATGCACCAAGGTGAAGCACGTAGTGACTGAACCTGTACTATGCATTCTGGTGGTTAATAAAGTTTAAATTAATATTTCAACACGAGAATAAAAGCCAATGGAAAGGAATATTCTTCAATTACCCCACACCCATTTCATTGTAGCAGCACATGGTGTGCTCAGTTAGAAACAGAGAAGGTAGAGAATGTGAAATAACTAAATTATCATACTATATTATAAGTGTGAAAACTTTTAGGTGAATTTATTTTACTAATATATCCTTCAAAAACTGAATGACCAAATTAGCCTTTAGCCAAATAAAATCCATTAAATGATTATTTACCACAATCAATCATTTCTAGAATACTCTACTCATCTTCTGCTAATTATTCTCGGCCCTGTGGTATGTCAGCTTTATTTCAACCAATATGGTCATTAATCATTCGGCCAAAAGAAAATTAAGTTGGTTGTTACATTGGAACCCTATTAAATGATAAGTAATTACTACAATGAGCTGTTAATTGGAAAGAATATTTATCACAATCTATGAATCTTCACCTCCTAGCTTTAACAGTTTAACGTTAGCTGAAGAACTTTTGGTTTCACCTCCTAGCTTTAACAGTTTAACGTTAGCTGAAGAACTTTTGGTTTCATTTCTGATCAATGATCACTTTTATAAATGGAAATGTATAACCCTCACCATTAAAGAAACAATAGATCTGGAAAGCTGCATATTTACTAGGTATGTTCATTTTCTTTTGTTATTTCCTATGAGTATTCATGACACTATATATTTTTGTTTATGCTAATTTTTATTTAGTATCACTTTGTAATGTTATTAATTATTTCGCCGGATAATAAATTGCAGAAGTATCAGCTTTCGTAATCAAGCAAATTGACTAGCTGGTGAGTTTTTGAGAAATGATTTCTTATAATCAAGCTAATCGACTAGCTAATTTGAGAAATTTGGTCTTTTTAAAATAATGAGCTTTATTAGAAGTTTCATGACATTTCTTTTCTTCTTCTTTTTTTCTTCTTTTTTTCCTTTTTCTAAATAAATTTCAAATTCTTGGGAAGAGCATGTTCCAAGGATGGGGTGTGCAACTTACCGTCACTATTTTTTATCATTATCTTTCTTATTGATCCCTTTCTCGCTCATTGACCCATTTTATTGATGGATTAATTCTATATAGATGTTTATGTTTTCCCAGTACTCCTCTCTTGGCATAAAAAAATGAAATATAAGAAAGAAAAAAGAAACAAAGATTTTACTTTGTTAATAAGGAATGAGTTAATTTATGGAATTTTGAAAAACATAGCACTCAGTAGATACACATAAAAATGGGAACTGTTACATTACACTTTATGCAAGCTTATATAACACTGGCTTTACATCGTATCATTTTGTTCTTGTATTTACTCTCTTTGTCAGTACATAGTTGCTCTTTCAAGCGTGAAAATGAATATTTCTTATTTATTATGTAAATTGGGCAATTGCTTTTACTGGAGTAGGTACTTCAAGAACATTGTCTATAAGGAAGTATTAGATACGATTCGAATATATTTCATGTTTGCACCTAATAACTTGAAAATGTAACTCTTAATACATTTTACATACCTAACTAAATTTAGTTGTTTAATTTTGCAGATTCAGACAATATCTAATCATATGTCGTTCAACAAATACGTCATTCGAATAAGGTGATTGCTCATCAATTTAAGTTTGTTCTTTTTCTCTTTAACTTTTCTATTACTCATTACACTTCAGTTTTAATGTGATGCATAGGTCATTTCATTCGGTACTACTTGCATAGGATACACACGTGCAACGCACGTGTTTAAAAACTAGTAAGAAAATAAATATAGAAAGCTTCCTTAATCCAACACAACATTGCATTTCTTTGTCTTGCACATCCTTCCATTTTTTAGTAAAGGATGTTCTTGATTTCATTAAATGTGTAATTTCAGAGAGCATGAGATCTTGAGATCAAATAAGAATGGGTGAAAACGAGGTGTAATTATCAACCATTACTTCGTAGGATTTTCACAAGAACGGAAAGTACTATTCTGAAAACTTGCCTTGAATCCCTCCAGACATTGTGAAACTCCAGACGAGGAATAAGAAGTGTGGCATTCAATAGCGCAGCAATGACTACTGCATTGCATATCTGCACTAAAATCAACAAGGGTGGTTAAGCTAAATTTTCATTTTACATTAATGAATAAAGAAATACCAAAAAACGTGTCCTGATACTTGCTTAGAAACTTATAAGAGCTACTACATGACTTAACTAACAAACCAGTAGTGCCCCTGATCTACCCAACATTTGAGCAACTGAATAAGCATATCAAATTCATGTCAAGGTAGTATAGGTCCATCTAGCTATTCAAAATGGCCAATTGCAATCACCATGACTTCTGTCTTCTATACTGTTTCTCTAATTAGGTTAGGGTGCCGAAAACAACTACTTGGTGTTTATTTACAATGAAAAATCAAACTTGAAATAGGAATACAGTAGCATTGTACTTTGGTAATGACCTGACAATTTAAAAAAACATTGATAAATCCAGCAAAATAAGAGATAGAAAACTCAAGTACAAAATTAAGTATAACAAATTTGCAATTTTAACAAAAGTTAGCAGAAAATTACTTGGGAAATACAGTGGCATATTGACTCATGAAATTACATACCGATGATCGCTGCTGATTGAGGCCACCATTGGCATCAACAATTAAGTAAAGATTGGTTCCAGGAGAACCTGAAATGGAAATAAATTTTGTTAGGTTCCTGATTTAATGTAACTATCAGCATTCCTACAATGCCCACCAACTTAATAATTTTGACCAGATGAAAACTAGTAAATGCACAATTGATTATCAATCCTAGAAATTTACTCTATCCCATGGTTTCATCCATTTGGACTTGGTGAAGGTCAAATTTGATTTCCATCAGGCTAATATTCTGTACGAATTTATAAGGTGGTTCAAAAACCAAAACCTTCTTACTGATACTGGTAATTCGCCCTATAATATTTTTGTCATTTCATCGCGAAAATGAAAACTTCACTAAAATCCAGTCTGATTGTGGAAAGTTAAATGCACACAAATTAGTCAAAATGCAGAGAGCTGTTCTAAGGAAGAATAAAATCCAGCACAAGTCAACAAGACATGTTATTTTGATACCTTTAGTTGAGGCAGTATTTCCAGTGGAACAGTGTCTTTGCTCTTTTAGCTTCCTTTTGTATATCCAGACAGAAGACAGCTACAATAAGATTGACAGATCATCTCAGCTAATTACCACCATGATCTCACAAGTGGGGTCTGGGAGGGTAGTGTGTACGCAACCTTACCCCTACCCTGTGGGGTAGAGAGGCTGTTTCCGATAGACCCTCGGCACAAGAAGATGAAAAGAGACAACATAACATTATCAGTAGCAGAGGCCAAAAAGATAGTACCATCGATCTAAGGATCAAAAAAATATATGGTAAAAGCAATCTAAGAATCAAAAAAATAAATGGAAAAGGCAAAAAAAGCAATATGAGTGATTAGTAACAATGGCAAGGTACTAGGAAACCGGAGCAGAAAAATAATATGAACACAACACGTACCACATACGAAAATAAGACACTAACAGACTAGCCCTACACCCAGTACGGAAGTGGACAAACGCTCAACTACCTACTAACCTACAATCTTAATGCTCGACCTCCACATCTTCCAATCAAGGATCATGTCCTCAATCAGCTGGAGTCGCGTCATGTCCCGCCTGATCACCTCTCTCCAATACTTCTTAGGTCGCTCTCTAACTCTTCTCATACCCGCTAAGGCCAACCGCTTGCACCTCCTAACCGGGGCATCTAGGTTTCTCCTCTGCACGTGTCCGAACCATCTAAGCCTCGCTTCCCGCATTTTATCTTCCAAGGGAGCTACGCCCACCTTCGCTCGAATATCTTCATTCCTAATCTTATCCAACCTAATGTGCCCGCACATCTATCTCAACATCCCCATTTCTGCTACTTTCATCTTCTTTATATGGGAATTCTTGACTGGCCAATACTCTGCCCCATACAACATTGTCTGTCTAACCACCGCTCTATAGAACTTACCTTTAAATTCCGGTGGCACCTTTTTGTCACACAAGACGCTAGATGCTAATCTTCATTTCATCCGCCCTGCCCCGATACGATGTGTGAGATGCACGTCGATCTCCCCATTCCCCTAGATAACTGACCCAAGATACTTGAAACTTCCTCTCTTGGGGATGACTCGTGAATCAAGCCTCACGTCCATGTCCGCTTCCCCCGTCACGTCGCTGAACTTGCACTCCAAGAGTCCAAGTATTCTCTCTTAGTTCCTAAGTTGTGAGGTTCGTTTTTTGTACCACACCCATCGCGACACGGGACGGGAGCGGGTGTTGGAGCGGGATACGTCCCGTATTCGTTCAACTAACTTCGGATTCTTTGATCTGAGTCCATCGACAAATTTGGGAGGAAATTGAGATTTTGATTTCTCAAATTTAAAAATAAAATAGATGTAAGACATAGAAAATGGCATACCTTCAATATTGTAATACTTTTATCTCATATTTGCTGCTTTGTATTCCAGAAAAAACAAGAATTCAAGGGGTCGTGTTCTAAGTTCGGACTTTTGGTAGACAGTAGCAGCGATATAGATGGAGAGTTGGTGGAAGGCCTTGAATGGCTTTCTTTTACTCTTTATAGATCTATTTTTTGTAGTTTTGAATTTTGTTAGCTGAATCCACGCACCCGTATCCATACCTGGATCCGCACCCCTAAATCTTAAAATTAAGATTTTGCCGAATCCGAACTCGGATCTGTGCCCGTATCGGATGCCCGCACCTGAGTCCGAGCAACTTAGTTTAATTCTACTCAACTTGAAACCTTTAGACTTATAGCCCGTTTGGACATAAAATTTGATGGAAGTTTTTTCCAAAAAAAATTCACTTTTTTCCAAAATCAGCGTTTGTTCATAAAATTTTCAATTTTCACTTGAAGATGCATTTTGGAAATTTTTTAAAATTTGAAAAACTCCAAAAAGCTGTTTTTCAAAATTTTCACTCAAATCACTCACAAAACTTCAAAAACAACCCAAACTGAAATTTATGTCCAAACACAACTCTAAATTTCAAATACCATTTTCACTTGAAAAAAAATTTCATCATTTTTTCGAATTTTACAATTCTATGTCCAAACGCCTACTTAAGGGTCTGTCTCCAAACCTCCAACGACACCCGAGTCCGAGCAACTTAGCTTAGTTCTACTCAACTTGAAACCTTTAGACTCAAGGGTCTGTCTCCAAACCTCCAACCTCTCGTCAACACGGCCTCGCGTCTTATCAATCAGAACTATATCATCATCCCAATGCAAATAGGAACGGGCCGAGTGCGGATCCTTGGTGTAACCCCATAACCACCGGAAAATGCTCTGAGTCTCCTCCCACTGTCCTAACCCGAGTCTTAGCTCCATCTTACATGTCCTTAATCACCCGAATGTATGCTACCGGAACACCTTTTACCTCCGAGCATCTCCTAATATATCCTAGGGACCTTGTCATACGCTTTCTCTAGGTCAATAAACACCATGTACCGAGGGTCAATAATTACCAAAATGCAGAAAGCATTTCCCTTTTGGCTTACTGGTATAAAATGCAGAATGTATATGATGTTGATAGGCTCATAGATTTCCTCAGTTCTCTCACTGATTAGAAATGGAACTGAGTTTTTGTAAGGTTACAGTTGTAAACACTATGCGCCATCTTAATGCTTGTGATTAGTACAACTTTGCTTACCATTAAACAAAATGTACAAGATTTTGCACAATCACAGGACTAATTCATCATTACAGTAACCCAATATTTAATCAAAATTCCTCCTGTTCCTATGCAAAGTACTGCAAGAACAGAGAGGAGCTGATGGAGACATGGAAAAAAACAGAGGAGGTGCAAGTAATATGTAGATTAGTTGAGGTGTAGACAGGTTGACGCGGAGGACGTTATAAAAAAAATACATAATTACAGATGTGCGCTTTTTTCTTTACAGATGTGTGTGTATGTCTACGTATATAAAGCAATGAAGGATAGCTGCAATATATGCATTCGAACCAAACTATTAAATAATCCACCGGTCCCAAATTATTCCCCATTTTGTGCTCAAACTGACATCAAATGCGAACTAATTAGTCACGATAAAAAAAATGTGGTTATTTACAATAATGTTTAGAAAGAAATTACATTTTCATTTCAAATCATTTAACAAAATTCGTGTCAAAGTTTAAAACTATTGACCAAGCGAAAACTGGACAACTATTTTGGATCGTCGCAGAAAGTAACCAGCAATAGATCTTTTAACACTCAACTAAAACTTTCTCTTCATTTTTCTTTTCCCTTACGAGGTAAAAGGCTAGAAGTAACACTATTCTCTTCTCTCTTCTTTTCTTCCCTTTGCTTTCACGAAAGTAAAGTTCAATAGGGCTTTCACGAATTCCAAATTTAACACGAAGATTCTTCAGTGGAAGAGGCAGTTTCAGATCCGCTAAGCAAAGTAATAGATTAAACCAGGAAAGAAAAATTACCTGAATAGAGGAAGAATTATCAGCTTGAATGTCGGTCCAAAGCTTCTGAAAAATGTCATGGCTACGATATACAGCACCTGCAGGTGGTTGCAGCAGGGAAAAGAGTGGCCGCACGCAGCTGATCAGTCCCGAGAAGTAGAGAAGCGGCACAACCAGCAGCAAGTGCCTCCGACGGAAGCTTCCTCGCCTGCGTAGCCTCCTCCGGGAACTTTGCCGGTTTTTTGGCGATGTCGGCGGCGANGGAAGCTTCCTCGCCTGCGTAGCCTCCTCCGGGAACTTTGCCGGTTTTTCGGCGATGTCGGCGGCGAACTTTGTGTGTTGTTGTTGTTGTTATTGTTGTTGTTAATGGCGTAACCATTTGCACTTTTCGAAGTCATGCTAGAAAGAAAGAGAAAAAATCTATTGTTTACATTACAGTAATGTCTGTTTTATGAAGTTTGTATTTTTTGAAGAATTTAGAGAAGAGTAATAGTATAAACAGAAAGAGTGAAAGAGAGGAGTAGTGTAATAAGTGGAGTGGCCAGTGGCCGTGGAGTATGGAGCCAACAATGTGGGAGGGAGAGTGAAGTATATGCTTATAGTTAGTCTTTTTGACTTTGAAAAAGAAAGGGAAAATGATTGATGTGGCGTTTGTTCGAAATTTTTTTAAACTGTCAAGAAACAAGGTGAGCTTTGGGGTTTGGGAGGGGGGAAGCGTTGATTGAACAAAAATAATTACCTCCCTGTTTATGTATCACACATTTTTTTTTTAGAATTTAAGTTTTATATATATATATATATATAGTGATAAAGACTAGCCTATTTAGAATGTGAAATTTGAAAATAAGATAGATTAGTTACTAGAATAAATAAAGATGACTTGATAGCAAATTTATTACGATGAAAATAATGTTAGTGAAAATAATGTTTATTACTAGAATAGTGTATATAAATTAAACTCTTTTTTTAATTTATTTCAAAAATAATGATATTTCTAAATCTGCAAATAATTAACTTTACATTTTTCAGTTTATTCTTGATGACAAACTTTTCATAAATGTTAGTTTTATATTCAAACAAAAGATGTGACATATTTTAGATCACAAGTTCAAAAGTCTTTATTTTTTATAAACTTTGTGTCAATTCAAACTATGTCACATAAATTGAAATGGATGAAGTATTTTTTAAAAAAGATTTACTCCTTGGCAAGGCCCGTTCCTATAATTAGGGGTGTTCATGGAAAACCATAAACCTAAACCAAACCGAAAATCGAATCAAATCGATAAAAAAATTACCATTTTTTAAATTTAATTTAGTTTTACTTTTGGTTTTGAATTTTTTTTTTTTAAAAGCGACTAGATTTGATTTAATTTTGTTTTAAACAAAAAAATAATCGAAAACGATCGAACCAAACTAACTATAAAAATGCCCCTTTATAAATTATTCTCTCTCTCTCTCTCTCTGTATGTGTGTGAGAGAGAGTGTGTATTTTATATATTCTTTTTATTTTACGGTCCATATTAGTCGTTTGCACTATTGGCTTGTGTGACGATCTGATAGGTTATTTTAACTATTAGCCTTAATTTTAGTGTTCCGAGACTTTTTATAACTTTATTTGATGTTTATTGATTTGCGTGTGTGGTCTGTGTCGTTTTTCGAAAAGTTTTTACGTAAAATTTTGAAAAAAATGTGATTTTTGACTTAAAATGAGGCTAGAGTTGAACACAGTCAACATTTTTAGTATACGACCTTGAATCGGTGTTTGATGAGTCCAGTAGGTTCGTATGATATTTTTGGACTTGCAAGTACACGTTTGGTTGGGGGCCGGGTTAACCTGAGCGCATTTCGGTGCATTATGTGAAAAAATTTGAAAATTGAGTTTTCAAGTTGAAATTTAGAGTTTTGGTGATCGATTCTCGTTTTTTGATGATTTTGATGATTTGAGGTAGCGAGCAAGTTTGTAGTATATTATTATACTTGTGTACATATTTGGTTTGGAGCCCGAGGGGCTCGGGTGAGTTTTGGATGGGTTACGGATGGGTTTGCAACTGCTGGTGCTCAGCAATAACTGGTGCAAATCTGCAGATCTCGCATTTGCGAGTTCGCTTTTGCGGTTATTGGATCGCACTTGCGTAAAGGGGCTGGGCTAGGTGTCTTCACATTTGTGAGGACATGATCGCTTTTGCGGATGTTGGACATTGGCATTTGCAATCATTTTGGTCACATTTGCGATCGATGTCTCGCGTTTGTGGACATCGCATTTGCGACCAAGTATTCACAAATGCGACGTCTGTTGCTGGGTAAAAGAGGGGAAAGTCGGGACTTAGTTTATTTTATACCATTTTTCAACCCCAAGCTCTTTAGAGGTGATTTTTGAATAACTTTTTCTTCCCAAATTCATTAGTAAGCATGTTTAACTAGTTTTCAATCAATTGCAATTATTTTTCATGAGTTTTTAACATCAAATCAAAGAATTTCATGGTAGAAGTTAGAGGTTTTGGGTAGATTTTTAGAATTTTGTAAAATTGAGATTTAGACCTCAAATTGACATCAGATTTCGATACAAATTACATATCCGGACTTGGGGTGAATGGGTAATCGGGTTTTGGTCCAAATCTCGGATTTCGACCATGCGGGCTCGGGGTTAAATTTTCTTGACCTTTTAAAAAATGATCACAAATGAGTCTTTTTCATTCGTGGGTAGTTTTTAAATCTTATTTTGAATTGTTTGAATGACAATTGGCTAGATTTGATTGGTTTGGAGGCTTGTTCGAAAGGCAAGGCCGTGATTGGTTGTTGATTTGGTTGCGGAGTGAGATAAGTGTCGTGGTTAACCTTGACGGAATTAGGACTTGATTGGACTATCTGCTATTTGATTTATGTGTGGGGACATCGTATATGCAAGGTGACGAGTGTATATACGTTGTCATGGGTTAAGCATGCGAGGTGGGTCTTTAACTATGTATCTTAACTACATCATGCCTTTTTACTCTATGTTACTACTCATATCATGCCTTCGTTGTTACTTGCCTTTATTTGTTAAATACATGCTTTCTTTGTTACATGCCCTCTCTTGTGTTCTTGATCCGTGCATCCATATTTTTACTTGTTGTTCATTTCCATTTGTCATATGTCTTTAATTATTTATTTGCTTCTATTTCACTCTAATTTGTTATATTGGATTGCTTTAGAGTATTTACTTGCTTTGATTCCTTTCTCTTGTGTTGAGAGCTACGCCATAGATGTTAGGGGTCTCGAAAGGTTAAGCGCGAGGCCACAAAGGAGACTGGTGATGGGATGAGGAGGTCCAAAGGAAAGTAGAAGCTAAGAAAGCAGCATATTTGAAACTAGTAGAGAGCACGAACAAGGAGGAGAAGAGGATCATCAGAGAATGGTATAAGAGCGCTAAGAAGGAGGCGAAGCTGGCGGTCACGGAGGCTAAGACTGTAGTGTTTGCTCGTTTGTATAAAGAACTGAGGGACAAAGGAGGGGGCATAAAGTTATTATGGCTGGATAAGGTGAGAGAGATGAAGGATCGTGATCTAGACCAAGTGAGGTGCATCAAAGATGAAGACGACAGAGTTTTAATGGAAGAGGCACAAATCAAGCGATGGTGGTAGACTTACTTCCATGAACTCCTGAATGAAGAGGGGGATAGGAACATTGTGCTAGGCGATTTGGATCACTCCGAGAGTCATTGTGATTTTAGGTATTGTAGGCGCTTTAGTTTTGAGGAGGTCGTAGGGGCAGCACGTAAGATGAGAAGGGGCAGAGCGACCGGGACAGATGAGATCCCGATCGAATTCTGGAGGTATGCAGGTAGGGCTGGATTGGAGTGGTTAACTGGGCTATTTAACGTTATTTTTAGGACGAAGAAGATGCTCGAGGAGTGGAAATGGAATACGATGATCCCGTTGTATATGAAAAAAGGTGATATCTAAAATTATAACAATTATAGGGATATCAAGTTATTTAGTCACACTATGAAAGTTACGGAGAGAGTGGTAGAAGCGAGGGTTAGAAGGACGGTGTCTATTTTTGAGAACCAGTTCGGTTTCATGCCGAGACATTCGACTACGGAAGCCGTCCATCTTTTTAGGAAGTTTGTGGAACAGTACAGGGATAGGAAGAAAGATTTGCATATGGTGTTTACTGACCTAGAGAAAGCGTACGACAAGGTCCCTAGGGAGGTCGTTTGGAGATGCTTGGAGGCTATATGTGCCCATGTAGCATATATTAGAGTGATTAAGGACATGTATGATGGAGCTAAGACTCGGGTGAGGACTGTGGGAGGAGACTCCAAACATTTTTCGGTTGGGATGGGGTTACACCAAGGATCTGCGCTCAGTCCGTTCTTATTTTCTTTGGCGATAGATACGTTGATACGTTATATTCAAGGGGAGGTGCCATGGTGTATGTTATTCGCTGACGACATAGTACTGATATATGAGACCCGAGGTGGTGTCAATAAAAAGTTAGATGTTTGGAGACAGACCTTAGAGTCTAAGGGTTTCAAGTTGAGTAGGACTAAGACGAAGCACTTATAGTGCAAGTTCAGCGATGTGACGGGGGGAGCGGATATAGACGTGAGGCTTGATTCACAAGTCATCCCTAAGAGAGAAAGTTTCAAGTATCTCGGGTCAGTTATCCAAGGGGACGGGGGGATCGACGAGGACGTCATACAACGTATAGGGGCGGGGTGGATGAAATGGAGGTTAGCATCCGGCATCCTGTGTGACAAGAATGTGCCATCAAATCTTAAAGGTCAGTTCTACAAGGCGGTGGTTAGACCGACTATGCTGTATAGGGTAGAATGCTGGCCAGTCAAGAACTCCCATATCCAGAAGATGATTATAGCTGCAATGGGGGTGTTGCGATGGATATGCAAGCATACTAGGTTGGATAAGATTAGAAATGAGAATATTCGGGAGAAAGTGAGTGTGCCCCCCTATGGAGGATAAGATGCATGAAGCGAGGCTTAGATGGTTCAGGCATGTGAGAAGGATAATCCCAGATGCCCCAGTGAGAATGTGTGAACGACTGGCACTGGCAGGTAGGAGAAGGGGTAGAGGGCGGCCTAAAAAGTATTGGGGAGAGGTGATCAGGCAGGACATGGCGTGACTTCAGCTTACCAAAGACATGGCCCTTGACAGGAGGATATGGAGGTCGAAGATTAGGGTAGAAAGGTAATAGGTAGTAGTGTGTTTTTCTGATCTGTTCTAGGTTTATTAGGGCTAGTTGACTAGTACATTGCCTTAGATTCTTAGAGTGCTAGTATTAGAGTTGTCTTTAGTACTATCTTCCGATTCGGTTTGCTAGTACCCTTTTGTATTACTGCTTGTTGCTATTGCTATTGCTTTCTTCCATTTGTTTTTTTCCCGGTTCATACATTACTGGTATCATTTTCCTGGCCTTGTTGTTGTTATTTACTTGTTCCTATTCTTCCTCTCGAGCCGAGGGTCTTTCGAAAACAGTCTCTCTACCTTCCCAGGGTAGGGATAAGGTCTGCGTACACATTACCCTCCCCAGACCCCACTTGTGGGATTCCACTGGGTTATTATTGTTGTTTATTTGGATCGGGTTGTGCGCCGCAATAGATATTGGTATTATTGTATTGGATCGGGTTGCACACCACAACAGATGTTGGTAT